AACAATCCGCCCGCCTCGGCCTCCCAGAGTGCTAGGATTACAGGCGTGAGCCACCGCGCCCGGCCTTGTTTTATTTTCTTAAGAAAAATTCCCAGTTGTGATTTACTGGATCAAAATAAAAATACCTCTAGTTATATGTTTATTGTAATTTTTTTTTTCTGGAAGGATATTATCATGGTAGTGTACAAGTGGTACTAATTTTAGTGAAATTTCAGAAACTTTGGATATTAGTAACTTAAATAATTTAGTAAGTTTAAAATGGTAGTTTTCTTTTCAGTTCATAGTTCTCTTTCTAAGTATCAGGTAACTGCTTATCTGATAATTTGATTGTTGGAGCCTTTGAGCTAATTATGCCAATGTTACAGATGAGGAAATAAGATTTGAGAAGTTAAATCAGCTTTCTCAAGTTGCACAGCTTAAAAGTAGAAGATCCAGTTGTCAGAAAACAAAAATTTATGTTCTTATTCCTTTTCATGGAAGAAAAGTAATGTATATTTTCACATTTATTGTGTATGTTAGGGTAGTCCCTTATTTAAGGGCAGCCAACCTACAAAACAAGGCATGGATAAAATTTTTACAGTATATACTGGATTGACTTTCTTGGATTGATAATGATAGTAGGACACTTTCTGTACTTTGACTTGTTGAAGCATTTCCTCTTAGGAAAGTAAGTAGATTATTTATTTTTGTTTTCTACTAGATTTCCACAGCTAAAATAATTACATGATAGTTGTGTGGTTTTCAACATTGGTTGCACAATTAAGGCATCTAGGGAGCTTTAAAAATAAATACGCTTGGTCCACATCACAAGAGATTCTGATTTAATTGATCTGAGGTTACAAGATATTCACATAATTCTAATGAGCATTTAAGGTTGAGAACTAATGTTATAAAGGTTTGAAATCATTATAGTCATGTTTAATGTTATTTGTTTTCTCTACTGGCATGTTATCAGAGTCACCTGGGCCCTGTCCCATGTGCTAAAACAGATATTTCTGAGCTGACTCCCAAAATACGTAGTGTTTTTTTTTTGTTGTTTTGTTTTTGAGACAGAGTCTCACTTTTGTTGCCTGGGCTAGAGTGAGTGCCGTGGCGTCAGTCTAGCTCACAACAACCTCAAACATCTGGGCTCAAGTGATTCTCCTGCCTCAGCCTTCCAAGTAGCTGGGACTACAGGCATGCGCCACCATGCCCGGCTAATTTTTTCTATATATGTTTAGTTGTCCGATTAATTTCTTTCTATTTTTAGTAGAGATGGGGTCTCGTTCTTGCTCAGGCTGGTCTTGAACTCCTGAGCTCAAACAATCCGCCCACCTCGGCCTCCCAGAGTGCTAGGATTACAGGCGTGAGCCACTGCGCCCGACCTAGGTCGGAAAATTTTTAGCTTGGAATGGTTATATACTGCTACTCAGATGTGCAGTACAAATGTACTTTTCATTATCTTACTCTGGAATTGGGGATTGGTGTTAGTAAGAATGCTTTTTGCTGCTGTTGTTGAAAATAGTTTTGTTCATATCAATATTCGGCTTGATTTTCCCCTTTCAAAAATTGTCTCTTTGCCTGTCTCCATAAGACATTGACTTAGTGAAGGAGGAATCTTCTGCTAATTGTGATGGGAAGTTTGTCCTTTGGGTTTTATGCAGTTCCCTATCTCCTTATTCTTGTTTGTCTGGTCTGGTTCTTAAGTGCCTTCTGCTTGGTGTCTCTCAAAGCATTTTTGGGGGATTTGCATTTGCTGCTGAAAAAAATTACAATTTCTTTAAAAATTACAAATAAAAACAGGTTAATATAGCTATCATTTATTATGTTTTTAGTATGTGCCAGGTATTGTTAAAATAATTACTACCCATTTTAATTTCTTAACATAGAGATGAATTTTAATACTCTTTTTATTATATATACATGCCCAGAAAGGTTATTAATTTGATTACACATCTTATATTTTTTCACTGTAAAATGATTAATAGACAGATACATTGCTGGTGATAAGAGAATCTCTATGCTTATTGATGTAAAAATATACAAAGGGAAGCTAAAAACATTAATGTGCAATCAATATTTTACAGATCTAATGAGACGTCAGGAAGAACTCAGACGCTTGGAAGAACTCAGAAACCAAGAACTGCAAAAACGGAAGCAAATACAACTGAGGTAATAAAAATTCGTTGTAACACAAACATGAATATTTTTAATTTCAAAATATTTAGGGTGTATAAGTGTTTTTTGTATGTGGATGAATTGTATCATGCTGAAGTCAGGGCTTTCAGAGTACCTGTCATCAGAATAGTGTATATTGTACTTGATATTGATAGGCAGATTTTTGTCCCCCACCCCTGCCTCCTTTCTTAGTTTCCAGTGTTCATTACAGCTCTTTATGACCATATATATCCCTCATTTACCCCCTACTTATAAGTGAGAACATGTAGTAACTGCTTTTCCGTTCCTGAGATGCTTCATTTTACGATAATGGTCTCTAGTTCCATCCAAGTTGCTGCAAAAGACATTGTTTCATTCCATTTTATGGCTGAGTAGTACTCCATGGTATATACATTTTCTGTATTCACTCCTCAGTTGATGGGCACTTACGTTGGTTCCATATCTTTGCATTTGTGAATCGTGGGTGATAAAATTTAGGTGTAGGTGTCTTTTATAAACAGACTTCTTTTTCTTTGAGTAGATACCCAGTAGTGGGATTGCTGCATCGAATGGAAGGTCTACTTTAGTTCTAGATGGATATATTTGAATTGCTCTTAGTTTTTATTTTGTCGTGTATGTAACGCTACTGTGATTGTCTTTACGCTTCTGATAATTTGTTTAGAAAAGATTTCTGGAAGTGGGCTCCATGGTAAAAAGGGTATGAGCATTTAAAGTCTCAGTACCTAATAGATAATTGTGGTGACCAACTTAAAATCTTGTAGGTTAAAGTGGGGAAGTTTGGGAGAGTGGTTAATCCAAGATGTATAAACAAAAATTGATAGCTTTCCTTTTGCCTGCAATTTTTTTTTTTTTTTTTTTTTGTAGAGAAGGGTCTTCACTATGTTGACCAGGCTGGTGTTGAACTCCTGGCTTCAAGCGGTCCTCCTGCATCTGTCTCCCAAAGGGCTGGGATTGTAGGTGCATTCCATCATGTCTGGCTTATTTTTATTCTTTTTGTAGAGAAGGGTTCTCACTATGTTGACCAGGCTGGTGTTGAACTCCTGGCTTCAAGCGGTCCTCCTGCATCTGTCTCCCAAAGGGCTGGGATTACAGGTGTGAGTCACCGTGCCCAGCCTTGTAATTTTTAATTGTAAGACATAATGGGATAAATGTTTCAAAAATCATGGTAATTAGGAAAAGTTATGAACAAAACTATGATAGGTGAAGCAAACTTAGAAATTTGGTTTTGAAATAATATTTATTTTAAAAATAATAAGTGCTTGTGGCAAGAAATAAAGTGGTTCATGGGAACGTAAAAGTAAAGAAGAAACTGAAAAACTGAATGAATCTGAAGCTTCTCCAGAGTCTGCAGATAGGTGGTATTCAGTACATTTCAATGTATTTTTTCCAACTTTGTCTTTGTACTTGATTTTATCAGTGTATCTGTATTTCTGTATGATTTTACTGTGCTCACGACATTCTCAAATTATGGTCCTTAGACAGGCAGCATTAGCATTCTCAGCTAGGAATTTTTAGAACTACAGTCTCAAGCCTCCCTCTAGAACCTCTAAATCAGAAACTAGAGTGGTGGGGCCTGGCCACCTGGGAATCCTTTGGGTGATACTGACGCACCTGAAAGTTTGAGAACTACTGTTGTACACAACTCTCCAGTGAACTGCCTACTTCTGAGACCTTTTTCAACTTTTTCTTTCCCTTTTTATATAAACATCTTTAAATTTTCTACTTTTAGAAAAGGAAACCTCCCCTCTCCTAACATAGGACCTTATCTAAAGTGAGTTTTCTCCTCTAATATTTGACGGACAGCTAGGCTTTTTGACATGGTACCCTACCCGTGTTCCCAAAAAATAGACAAATAACGAAAACTAAGCAGAATATGGGCTGAAACCCAACATAGGATACAAAAATATAACAAATGAACCTAATTACATACATGAATAACATAATCACACTGAAAGGGGATGGAGAAGAAAATAAGGAACCATAACTTTGTTTTCTTTTTTTTTCTTTTTTTTCTTTTTTTCTTTTTTACCTTAGATCTGTAGATTTTTTTCTTTTTTTCTTTTTTTTTTTTTTACCTTCAATCCTGCAGAATTAACTTTGGGAAACAGTATCTTGACTAGATACAGTAAGATTAATGCCATTTGTAAATTCTGTAATCTAGTTACAGTTAGCAGTTCTGAAATTATTTTATTTATTTATTTATTT